AGAAGAGTTGGGGACCTGCTTCAGGCTTCCTGCGCTCCGCGGGGGCGCCGTTGGCATGCGGGGCCGCAGCGCTTCGACACTCATGGTTCCAGTGCTGGCGGCGTTGCCGATGGGCTGGGGCTGGGCGTTGCACCTCTGCCAGCTTGTGACGGAGGAAGGGCTCTTGCGCGGCGGCCAGCGGGCTGATTCTCTGGCGAAGGATCGCGAGGCCTCTCGCCCGCTGGGGCCTGGGCGCGCGCTTGGGGCAGCTGCGTGCGTCGACAACTTCATGCTGATGGGCCCGCCCAAGCAGGGCGTCTGCGCCGCGCGTCAGGCTGCCGCGGAGGCTCTCTCCAGCCAGGGCTTCACGATCCACGGGGTGGACCGGACCGACTTCGTGGGCCTCGCGTTCGACGGGCGCGGGCGCGCCGTCCGGGTCTCCACCGAGCGCATCTGGAGGTTGAGGCTGGCCATCGAAGAGCTTTTGGGCCGCCGCGCCTGCTCAGGGCACGTTCTTGAGATCGTGGTAGGGCATGCGACCTGGATCATGATGGTTCAGCGGTCCTCCCTGTCGGTGTTCAGCTCGGTGTATGCGTACATCAAGGCCATGGGCGCAGAGGAAGGCGAGCTGTGACCGGCAGCGAAGGAGGAGCTCCGGCAGGTCAGGAACCTGCTGCCGCTGATGGTGGCCCACACTGACGCCGAGTGGTACGGCAAGGTGACCGCCAGCGACGCGTCTCACTGGGGCTGCGGGGTCTGCGAGCGGGCGGCGAACTTGGAGGAGATCGCGAGCTGGGGGCGGACGGCCGAGCGCTGGCGGCACCGCCAGGGGGCTACGGCTGCGCGAGCCCACGTCTTGGGGGGCGAGGAGGCGGACGCCAAGCTGGAGCAGTTGCTGGTGCTAGACGACCTGCCGGACAGCCTGCGCCAGGCCGAGGAGCGCGCGAAAGCCTTTGACATGGTCGACGCGAGCTTCACGGACCCAGAGGCGCGGCACATCGTCGAGTCGTTCCCCTGGCGGGGCCCAGCGAACACACTGAGGTTGGAGGGTCTCGCTTTGTCCAACGCCCTTCGGCATCTCCTTCGAGATCAGAAAGCCTTCGGACATCGGGTGCTTCTCCTGGTCGACAACCTGGGGCTGGCCCTGGCGGCCGGAAAGGGCCGATCCTCGGCCATCCAGTTTAGGGGCACCCTTCGGGAGATCAGCGCCCTCACCCTGGCTCGCCGCCTCCACGCGTGTGTCCGCTGGGCCCCGTCCGAGAGGAACCCGGCGGATAACCCTTCGCGAGGCTTGTACTTGCTCAAGCCGCAGCTGGAGGAGGAGGGTGCCAAGCTGGAGTCTGCTTCTGCTGGTGATAAGCGTGGGGGGCTGCCAGCCGTGCCAGAGTTTCCGAGCTTCGGCGCAGGCCAGGAACAGTCGGTCTTGCACGCGAAGCAGGACGGAGCTGGAGGCCCCTCAAGACGACTGGATGAAGATGATCGGCATCATGCCGATTGCGGCGGCGGCCGCCAGGAGGACCTGGTGCCACGCGCCATCGCCCGAGTCGGCGCCCTTTCCCGGGCTCGCGCCCGCCGTCCTTCCTGGAGTCGAGGTCAGTGGCGAAGGCGACCCTCGCGGATTACCAGAGGAGAGCCAAGGCTTTTCTGGGATGGGCGCTACAGGCAGGGTTGAGCTGGACCTCAGTCGAGGAGCTCGACCTGGCGGTGGTGCTGTACATGGACAGGCTATTCTTCCTGGGGTGCGCTGGGGACGTGGCCAGCAAGACCTTTGCTGCGGTCAAGTTCTATTACCCGGAGGTCGGCAGGTACGGTCCGCAGGGCGTGCCGCGGGCGACCAAGGCGCTGGCTGGCTGGGCCAAGGTGGTTCCGCGGGCAACGCGGATGCCTGTGCCGTGGCTCCTGGCGGCGGCGCTGGCGGGGCACCTCTTGTCGCGGGGCCTGCTGGAGCACGCTGTCGCGCTGCTGCTGGCGTTCAACGCCTACCTCCGCCCAGGCGAGCTGGACGCGCTGACGCCCATGCAGCTGGTGGCGCCGGTGGCAGGCGCAGGGTTCGGGCAGCAGCACTGGGCGCTGCTGCTAGGACCGAGCGAGCTGGGAGCTCCGACAAAGGTGGGCGCCTTCGACGAGAGCGTGGTGCTGGACGGGGTCGGGTATCTCTACGAGTGCCTCTCCGTGCTCAAGCGGCGCAGGCAGCGCGTGACAGACAGGCTGTGGAGCATTGCACGCAACGACCTGTCGATGGGGATGCAGGTGTCAGCGGAGGCCATCGGCCTGGGCCAGATGGGGTTGACCGTCTACGGCCTGCGGCACGGCGGAGCCTCTCACGACCTGTCGACGAAGGCGCGCTCGGCGCTAGAGGTCAAGTCCAGGGGAAGGTGGCATTCAGATGCGATGCTGAAAAGGTACGGCAAGGAGGCAAGAGCGCTGGCAGAGCTGCACGAGGCCCCAGCCCAGACGCTCGAGTTCGGGCGGCGCATCGCCGCCAGACTGGAGGCGATCTTCCTCAAGCGCGAGGGCCTGCCTCCGCTGCCGGCGCTTCCTCTGGGACCTCGCTCAGTGACGCCGAAGTCAGGGTGAGGATGCGGCGAGTGCTGAGGAAGGCGCTTGCCTCCGCTCGGGTCTCTAGGAAGCAGGTTTATCTGGAATTTTACTCGGGCCAGGGGGGCATCTCCAAGGCGATGCGAAACCTCGGTTTTGGGGTCGTGTCGGTCGACATTTTAAAACTCCCCTGGTTAATCTGGATAGGCTTTGCATTCAGAAGATGGTGCGGGGGTGGATTACGGGGGGCGTCGTCGTCGGTCTCTGGATGGGGACTCCTTGCTGCTCCTGGTCTCAGACTAGGCATGGGCCCCCGAACAGTAGTTGGTGCCGTCTCAGGAGCCCTTCTCACTTGTGGGGTTTACCCAACCTCAGTCAGCGTGCTCGCCTAGCCTGTGAGAAGGGCGACTCTCAGCTCAAGTTCTGCCTCTCCTTGATCCGTGCCTTCCGGAGCAACCATGCTCCAGTGGCTTTGGAGAATCCCAGTAGCAGCTATATTTGGCAAACAGCTCAGCTTGCCCACCTTTCAAGGCGGCCAGATAGCCATCAGTGTATTGTGGATTTTTGCGCCCTCGGAGCCCGCTGGCGGAAGCGCACCCGCGTTCAGGTCCGGAGTTCTAGTTTTCGGATTTCCCTCCCAGGTGCCTGTCGCGGGCGTTCGGGCCAGTGCAGTTTTACAGGCAAACGCCACATCATCCTTTTGGGCCGTGACCCAAACTCGGGCAAACTGGACCAGTGTTGCTGAGCCTTGCCCCTGTCGTGTTTGTGTCCTGTTTGCCTGAGCGTTGGAGCAGGCTATCCAGTCACTTAAGTTGAGCCGATTCCGACAAATAGTTAGTTGCGGCTAATGTCAGAATCCCATTCGGGGTGACTTGGGTTTCTCTCTTCCTCTCTCGTTCGGTGTGGTGTTGTGTTGCGGTGTGTGCTTGTGCCGTGTGCGTCGTGCCGTTCGTTCGCCCCCCTCCCCTCCGCCGGGCTTGGAGCGTGGTCCGCCCTGTCCTGCTCGACCTGCCTGGCCTGAGACCCACAGAATGTCCTGGCCTGTTAAGCGTCGCGATGGGGAGTTCTAGAACAGTAATCGCAGAGCGTGGGAGGGCCGCGCGGTGCTTGCATCTGCCACCGCCCCGGCCCAAGCCTTTTTCGGACCCGCCCGCTGCCTCCCTTTTTTTCTCTCTTCCTCTCTCGTTCGGTGTGGTGTTGTGTTGTGGTGTGTGCTTGTGCCGTGTGCGTCGTGCCGTTCGTTCGCCCCCCTCCCCTCCGCCGAGCTTGGAGCGTGGTCCGCCCTGTCCTGCTCGACCTGCCTGGCCTGAGACACACAAAATGTCCTGGCCTGGTTAAGAGTCGCGATGATGATGCTGATGATGATGATGATGATGATGATGATGACGGTGATGATGATGACGATGGCGATGGCGATGATGACAACGACGACGACGGCGAGGATGAAGATGCAGATGCTGGTGATGATGACGATGCTGCTGCTGATGCTGACGTTGCTGGTGCTGTTGATGATGATGATGATGACGACGATGATGCTGATGATGATGACGTCCACGATGATGCGGACAATGACGATGCCAAGGACGGTGATGGTGATGATGATGGCGATGCTGATGATGATGACCATGATGGCGACGACGATCATGCTGATGACGATGACGCTGACGATGATGATGACGCTGGTGATGATGGTGCTGATGGTTATGATGATGCCGATGATGCTGACGATGATGATGATGATCATGATGCTGATGAGAATGATGCTGATGATGATGATGATATTGATGATGGTGACGATGATACTGCTGCTGCTCTTCACCATCATCCATCTTATCCTCTTCCTCCTCCTCCTCCTCTTCCTCCTCCTCCTCCTCCTCCTCCAGGAGGTTATCGGAAAACAATGCAGTTTACACGGTTTCGTGTCTCCCCTCCACTCCTCCAGAGAGGCCGCGCTTGAACGAGGAGGGTCGCGGAAAGCATAACTCTTTACCAGGTTTCGTAGCCCTCCCCCTTAAAGCGGGGCCCCGCCAGAGCGAGGCGGGTATCAAGAAACCGTACTATTTACAAGGCTTCGTTTCCTGAGCACTTGTCCTCCCTCCTCCTTTCTTTCGTCTGCCCCTTCGTGCGTACTTACTCGTTCGATGAGCTTCTCCTTCGTGTTGATGTTGTCGTACCCCATGGGTCCCACGAAACCGTTAATATCTTCATGTGGGGAACTCCGTTAGCATAATTTTGCATGTTCGGCCGGGAGGTACAGGATATCCAGTGGATGGCGAATCAATTCTCAACAGCGCATTGCGTACCAGATGGACCCCCATCCCATCCAAGCTCCCAGCTATATCTTCCTTTCATTCGATGGCCAGCCACTCTGGCTCTTGCCAAGGTCGCTCGCGGCTCTTGCTCAACACACTTTCCACTATCACAACTTACGTCAAACACAGTTTTTGATTTCAAACCATTCCATACCATGATGAGCCTGAAAGATGTGCTCCGCAAGCCAGTCATTAGAAGCTCCGTGCCCTTCGCGGTCTTCGCCGCCATTGCCACACTTCTGGACCTCCTGGCACCGCCGAGCCCTGGGGCGGGAGAGGGTGACGCCACGGGCGAGGACGAGACCTTCCTGCTCCAGACCTCCACCGGTCCCTTCTCGGGCAGCTCCCTCTTCGCCAAGGTCGGCTGCGCATCAGAGTGACCCTAGTGGGAGTGCCCTCTGGTCTTTGCAGCTCTCGGGGTGCACGGGGGCAGCGAGGCGGGGGGGGGGCAAGACCCAAGCACGCAGGCTGCTGCAGTCGCGTTGCACGCAAGGATGAGCAATCGAGGGAAGAATCACGGGGGCCATGACCCAGATGTCGCGGGATTTTGTCGATGCCGATCTTGGTCATGGTCCATGTCGGCCGTCGCCGATTCGCTTCCGCGTTCAGCCTTGGTCATGGTCCGAGCTTCTTTCCCCTCTCAGCAAGCCGCGCACCAAAGGTCTCCTCTTGCTCAGGGGTTAGAGCGAGAATTATCGGGGCGGAAGACGTGATCATATCATTCGTATTATCGCGAATGTCGAATGTTCTTATTGCACAGTCGTGCCCCGTATCTTCCCAACCCCTTCCTCCCAATACAACATTTGTCGTTCCCAAGGGTCAGTCTTACGTGCAGCCGGCAAGGGCTCCGCGGGTCTCTGGGAGGCCGCGGCCGTTGCTTTGCTGCTCCCCCTCTGCGAGGTTCTAGGCCTCTTCGATGGGGTCCGAGTAGATCGGATCGGAGGATCGCGCCGCGTCGGCGATGCATCGGCGATGCGGCTGGATGTGCAGCCAGACTTTCCACGCCGACTTCGCCGACGTATCGCCGATGTCGACGTCGCATCGCCGGTGCATCGCCGATGCATCAGGGATGCACTGGCGGTGCGGCACGATCCTCCGACCCCGTCTGCTCGGACCCCGCCTGGAAGGCCTCCAGAGGTGGCCTCCCGCTCCGTCGCCAGGCCGCGAGCCACCAAGAAGCCCGCGGCGCGGGCCGAGCCGCGCGGCGGGCGCCCGCGGCTCAGGACGCCCGCCGGGCTGGAGGCCTCCCCGGGCGGGCGCGCGGGCTTCGCCGCCGAGGATCGGGGGCCGAAGTGTGGCCACTGAAGGGGACGGCTGCTCGAGGCATTGGCAGTGGGCCTTCGGGGGGCGCCCTCATCGCCACGGCTGGGCGCGGCGCGGAGAGCTGGTGTGTCTTTGGACACCGGGAGGGGTCCGGGGACCAGTTTTGAGCTCCCGGTGTCTCAAGCCAAAACCTGCTCAGAGCCACCGCGTACCTCGTGCCGGGCCGGCTTGCCTGCGGGGGTGGCGCACAGACACGTGACCCCAGGGGATGCCGCTCTTGTACGCAGCCCCCGCTCCGCGATCTTGTGCCGGGCCAGCTCGAGTGTGGGGGCTGTGGGCAAGTATCGCGCCCCGAGAGGAGGTCTCAAGCAGTGTCGAAGCGTCCTACCTTGGCTATGGGCTCACCAGGTAAGATTTTAATATCCTTTCGCATGGTTTGCGCGGAGTGCTCTCGGAGCGTTCCTGGTTGAGGCAGCCTAAGAGCACAGAATTGTGCATTTCGCTCGAAGAGCACTGTTTTTGTTCTCAGCACATCCTGGGGCTCTAAGGACATCTCGCGGTCGGCATGTAGCAATGTTGGGATGGTCGGTGTCTGCTCACAGGACGAGTTCGAAGTGCCGCCCGTGGTTGGCCTGCCCAGCCCAGGAGCAGGACAAGTGCGTCATGAGCACGGAAGCTTTCGGAGGCTCGCGCGCAGTTTGCTCGGGTCGGCGCTCGGCCCCAGTGGCGGCGCCGCTGGCGCTGCCGGCGCCGCCTCCCTGACGCGCTCCGCGCGCCTGGGGTCCAGTGCCGATCCAGGAATGCCGCGCGGACTCTGAGAGGCTGTGCTCGTGCAGTGCTTGCCCCTCTTCTGCCAGCGGGCTGCACGCCGCGCTGAAGGCGGGCGACCTGGCGCGAGCGGAGGCGATCGCCAGGCAGATGGGGGCGGAGGGGCAGCAACCGTCGGTCGTCATGTACGGCGCGCTGATCAACTCGTACGCCAAGGCCGGCGACTCCGCGGGCGCGGAGAGGCTCGGGCGGGTGGTAATAGGGGTTGACCTCCGCGGGGGATGGAGAAAAGGGCTTGGCTCCAGAGAGGGCCCTGAAGGGCCCATTGAGGGCCCTTGTCTCAACCTCCCGTTTAGGCCACACCACCTGCCCGAGAGGTGGCTCACGAAGCTCACGGGCGCGGGGCTGGGGAGGCCCAACACCATCTGCGTCAACATCGTCATCAGCGCGTGCGCGAAGGCGGGTGACCTCGCGCACGCGGAGGGGTGGCTCGAGAGGATGCCCGAGCTCGGCGTTGAGCCCGATCAGATGAGCTATAATGCGGTCATCGACGCCTGCGCTCGCGCCGGCGACGCCGACCGGGCGGAGAGGTGGCTTAGATGCTCGTTTGGGGGACCTTCTTGGGGCCCACCTAACGGATCTGTTCGACTCTAGATCGACCGCAATTCGGCTTAAGTTCGTTTGAATTCGACTCAAGTACGACTCAGGTCGACTCAGGTTCGACTCAAGGTCGACTCAAATCGACGGACGTTCGAAGCAGCTTCGACGCACGAGTGGAGCGAGTGTCTCCAGGAAGGTCCCCCGAATGAGCATCCAAGGTGGTTCAACGAGATGTGGCAGTCTGGGGCCGAACCGAACGTCATCAGCTACAGCTCCGTCGTGCACGCGTGCGCCAAGGCTGGCGACATGGGCCGGGCGGAGTCATGGCTGAGGCGGATGGAGAAGGACGGGGTCACCCCTAACGTGATCTGCTTCAACGCGGTCATCCACGCCTGCGCCAAGGCTGGCGATTGCGGGCGGGCAGATTGGTGGATCGACAAAATGGCGGCGCAGGGAGTGCAGCCGACGGTGAATACCTATACCTCGGTCATGGACTCGCTTGCCAAGAGCGGCGACATCGAAGCCACGGAGAGGTGGCTCGTACGCATGCTGCAGGAGGGTGTCGATGCCGACGTGGTGTGCTACAACATGCTGCTTGGTGCCTGCAACCGCTGCGGCGACAGCCATCGCGCCCACGTGTGGTTCAAGAGGATGCGCGAGCGTGGCGTTCAGCCCAATACGGTGTGCTTCAACCTGTTGCTCAACGTGTACGCCCGCAGCGGCGACGTTGCAGGTGCCACCGACTGCCTGAAGCAGATGCAGGAGAACGGCACTCCTCCCGACTCCGTGAGTTTCAACACCGTGATCAAGGCTTAAGTCGGGCCTATCCCTCTACAGGAGGAATTTTCCAAATTGGTCCAAAAATAGTCAGGGGACGATTTTTTAAAATCTGTTTGACAATTTGGGGGTATTGTTCTAACTATTTTTAATTTTTCGTCCAAAATCCTCCTGTAGGGGGACAGGCCCGACCTAAGTCAAGGCTTGCACGCGCAACGCCGATTGTGATGCGGCGGCCCACTGGTTCGAGGAGATGCAGAAGGCGGGTGTCCAGCCAGACCTGTTCACTTACAACGCCCTGATCGCTACCGGGGCCCGTGCGAAGGATCCGCTGTACGCGGAGCGCTGGCTGGCCCTCATGCTCGAGAGGGGCGTCGGGGCCGACGCCGTGAGCTACACGACCTGCATCGACGCCTGCGCGCGAGCGGGCCACACGGCGCGAGGCGAGAGGTGGCTCGTGGCCATGGAGGAGGCCGGCCTGCAGCCGAGCGTCAAGATCTACGGCACGCTGCTGCACGCCGTGGCCAAGCAGAGCGACTGCGCCAGGGTGGAGCGGCTGATGCAGCGGATGCACCGCGTCGGCCTGCAGGCCAGCAGGGGAGCCGCCTTGGGGGTCTGAGGCAGCCCAGCTCTGTGCCAGCCGGCAGGGAGGGCGGGCGGGTTCGAGGCCCTGGGCCCGGAGAGGCCGTTCGCCGTGCTCGGCCCCCAGGGGCCCTACTCGGGTCCCGGGGCCGTGGAAAATGGATCGGGCACGGGAAAGCTCAGCAGATGGACCCCAGGAGGGGTCCAGGGGCCATGTCTGAGCGGAGTTGGCTTCATCGAACTTACCCCTATCCCTAAGATCGACACGCCAAAAGGCGATGACAATCTTAGGGATGCGCCAATAAGGGAATCCCTAAGATTGGCATCGTGATGAGGAGATGCCCAGCATAGGGATAGGGATATGTTCCAGGCTGGTGAGGTTTTGGCTTCATCCCCCCTCCTGGCCACTTTTTAAATTTCTCGGGTCCCCACCAGTTCAGACCCGCCAGCCGCCCCAAGGCCAGCAGCTCCATGTACAACGCCTTGATAAGTGCCTGTGCCAAGCGCGGCGAGGTCGAGCGCGCAGAAAAGTGGCTGAACCATATGACCAAGGCCGGCATACCTGTAGATGTGGTCACGTATTCGACGGTGATTCACGCATGCGCCAAGTCCAGTGATCTCAATCGCGCCGAGCTGTGGATGGATCGCATGCGCACTGCCGGTGTCGATGGAAACAGCGTCACCTACAATTCGCTCATTAATGTATGCGCGCGCGTCGGCGACGCGGACCGCGCCGAGGAGTGGCTGGCACAGATGGAGAAAGCGGGTCTCAGTCCAGGGGTGCTCACTTACAACTCGGTCATCCAGTTGCGCTGCCGCGCGAGTCCGCCACTGGGCTACGGCGGGTGCCGCTCCTGGTCGGGGGGGGCCTTCCACACCGATCTCCACACATACAATGAGCTACTCAACCTCCGGGGGCCTTTCGTTTTGGCCTCCCCCTGTTTCTCTAGGCAGGGAATCAACTCGCCCCTTCTCCTCCTCCTTCTCCTCCTCCTACTCCTCTGCCTCCTCCTCCTCTTCCTACTCCTCCCCCCCTCCTCCACCTTCTCATCCTCCTCCTCCTCCTCGTCCTCGTCCTTCTCCTGCTCCTCCTCGTCTCATTTACCTCAGATGGTCTTTAGTCCCAACCCCCCTATTTCTTTCGGCAGGGGATTAACTCGCCCCTCCTCCTCCTCCTCCTCCTCCTCCTCCTCCTCCTCATTCACCTCTTGCTCCCTCCCCAGGCCAGATAATTTCTTGGGGGTGCGCTCCCAGGGAATAATCCATTGCAGGCTCCTCCACACGCAAGAGGATGTGTGAACATCTTCTCATGAGGGTTGCAATCATAATCAGTGGTTGCGGTTGTAGTCCTGTTTGTCTGCGTGGTTGTAATCGTGATTGTAGTCACGATTGACGTCGTAACCGTAGTCGTGCTTGTAATCGTAATCGTAGTCGTCGTCGTCGTCGTCGTCGCGGCGGAGATTGTATTCCCTCTGTAATTTGGCGGGCTGGATGATTTTGGGGTTTGTGTTTGGCCTCCCAGGGAGTAATACATTGTGGGCTACACTGCACGCGATGGGACTTGTGAGCATCTTCTTAAGAGGATTGCAATAGGAGTCAGTGCCAGTGGTTGTAGTCGTGACTGTAGTCGCGCGTGTAATCGTGATTGCCATCGCGGTTTTAGTCGTGATTGTAGTCATAACCGTAGTCGCGATTGTAGTCGTATTCGTGGTCCAGTCGTAGTCTCAGCCGCAGTCGTAGTCGTAGTCGTAGTCGTCGTCGTTGTTGTGCTGCGGGTGCGGCGGAGAAATATTTGTTTTCCGCGATTGGTGGGCCTGCAGTCCGTCAATGAGGTCGCCGAAAAGACAGCCAGTTTCCATCTAGTGGGTGGGTTCTAAAGACCTCGTTACCCCCGTTGCAGGACGCTTGGTTCATTTGAGCGGAACATCCGTAGGGATCTGGCGTCACAACTGAACGCAATTTGGGCTCGATGGGTCGGGATGGGGCGCCCTGATTGCTGCCCCGCAGGAAGCGGAACAGCTAGAACAGAGACAGGGCCCAGCAGACACCAGCCGTTGCAGGCGAAGTGGCGGATCAATGCGTGCGCCAAGGCCGGAGACTCCGCGCGCGCAGAGGCGTGGCTCCCGCGCATGCAGGCGAAGGGCGCGCAACCCGACGGCGTGAGCTACAGCACCGTCATTCACGCTTGCGTGAGGTCCTCCGATGAGGAGAGGGCGGTGTACTGGCTGGGCCAGATGCGCGAGGCGCGCCTGACGCCGAGCGCATCATGCTACGAGTGGGTGATCCAGGCGTGCGTGCAGGCCAGCAGTCTGGCAAGCGCCGAGCGCTGGTTGGCAGCGGCGCTGGAGACCACTGCCGTGAGCAACAGCACCTGGACCAGGTTCATCAACAAGTGCGTGCACTGCAAGGACTTCGGCAGGGCGGAACGCTGGAGTAAGGAGATGCAACGTATCGGTATCGGATCATCGCTTGCTCGGCCTTCCAGAGCGTGACGGACGCAGTGAGGACCCAGCGCAGTGAGGAGGTCCGCAGCCGCCCAGCGATAATCATGCCCCGAATGCGTCGCTTGGGCGTCTTTTTCGGCAACGCTCGCCATGAAAGGGCTATTGGTCTTCGGGACAATGATATTTGTTGCCATCTTCGGTTTCCTGTGGGCTTCCACGGGCTCTGGGACCCCAAAAACAGCTCTGGATGAGACTCTGGTCTTGGGGGAAGCCTGGTGGGATCCAGGACCCCGTTCCCCCCTGGACCATTTCCCTCATGCCAGAACGCCTTTCATTCCCTTTTTTACGACTCAGTCGCTCGATGCGATTCGCGTGGCGAAGGTTGCGAGCGAGCTTGACTACATCTCTCGCGCGACCCAGGCCTCCAGCGTCCTGGTTTAGCCCTACATCCAAAGTATGGGGTGTTTCTTTTTCCAGGGTCCTTTCCGTCTCTTCTTTATAATCACTATTTCATTCCCGCCACTCACATTTAGGCCCACTCGTACCCAGACGCACTCATACTCAGACTTGATTGTACTCAGACGCGCTCACACTCATTTTCGCATGCATTCATCTTAGTTGGACATACGGAGACTCATACAGGCAGACAGCTTACTTTTGATCATTCACACTCAGACTCACTCACACTGGGACTTTCTCGAACTCTGTCACTCGGGGGAGACATCAGGGGGTATTCCGCTTGCCCGTTCGCGTCCAAATTGTGCGAATGTCGCGAGCGAAGCGTTAGTTCTGCACCTCTGGCTTCTCTCCGTTCAGAGCACCGTGATCACCGCGATGCTCTATCAGGCGATCGCAAACATGGATCAAGGTGGCGTGAACTACCTATGGGTTCCGGTTCCATGGGGAATCGCGGATTTCCGCCGCCAATCGAGGCGGCACCGGCCGCATTTCGGGGAGGGCACCTCCACCGATCTATGGATTTGGCGACCGCGCGCCAAATCTATAGATCGCTAATCCATGTTTGCGCGCCCCCGACTCCAGGCATAGCACTCGGGCACCTCAAAGAGGAGCCGCCAGGGAGCATCACGCCTGCTATGCTGCGCCCAGAGTGGAGGGATGTCTCGCACGAAGTGCTTGCTCTGCACTTTCGACACCTTGCTTCTTATGGCCTCGCGATCACCTCCGCGATGCAGCACGCACGCATCGCACCTGAGCAACCCCAACGGGGAACCGGCAGGGGGTATTACGCCTGCCCGTGCGTATTCATCTTGTGGGGATGTCTCTAGCGAGGCTCTTGTTCTGCACCTCCGACTCTTCTCCTGTGACGACCCGTGACCACCGCGGTGTATTAGGCATAGCACATGGGCACCTAAAAGAGGAGCCGCCAGGGGTCATTCCACCTCGCGCGAAGCGCTCGTTCTGCACTTTCGACTCCTTTCCTCTCATGGCCCATCATTTCGCGATGTAGCACGCGTAGCTCTTGGGCACCCCAAGGGGGGCCGCCAAGGGATATTACGCTTGCTCGTTCGTGCATATGTTTTTGGGGATGTCTCGAGCGAGGTTGTGTGTTTTGCCCCTCCGACTATTCTCCTGCCATGGCCCGATCATCACCGCGATGTATTAGCATAGCTCTCAGGCACCTCAAAGAGGAGCCGCCAATTCCATTTGCTCTTTTGCGCACCGGCTGTGGGGATGTTTCGAGAGAAGCGCTTGTTCTGCACCTCCGACTCACCTCACCGTCGTCTCCTTTCGCAGCCCCATGGTCGCCACGATGAGCCACGATGCCTTCAGGCATATCAGCTGGGCACCACAGGGGGGAGCCGCCATGGGAGACCTCGTCATGCACAGACCCACTCACATTCAGACCCACTTGTGACCAGTCTGCTGTACCCAACCGCACTCACACTCAGACTCACTCGGTCTAGACAAGCATAGAACAGCCGCCTGCCAGAAGGAGATGCAGATCTGGGGACCCCCGCGGCGAAACAACGAATGCCTGAGGTTCTGGACCTCTGGACCCCATCTTGCTCGCGCGCTGCTCACGCGCCGTGGCCCCGACACGCACTCTGGGGAACCAGGCTCCGAAGGACAGAAAAAACACCGTCCAGCCTGGTCTGGTCACAGGGGGACAAAAGGTGACATGAACATACAAACTCGGAGGTCCGCGCGGAGTTCTCGCATCGGCGCTGGGGCCCCCCGGCGGCGCCTCCGGCGCCGCCCCTGGCGCGCTCCGCGCGCCAGGGAGGGGGATCCAGCGCCGATCCGAGAAATCCGCGCGGACCTCCGAGTTTTTATGTTTATGCAACTTTTTGCGCCCCTGGGTCAGGACTCTGGAGGTCTGGCAGCTTCGTGCGGGAGTGAAGCAATGGCCAGGGCGGGGCATGTTTTTTCTGCTCCGCTTTCGCCGTGGTGCCTCTTCTGCTGGGAGAGGAGGCACATCCACGACCACCGCGCCTCCTCAGGCCCAGTTCGGGCCCAGGCCTTGGTGAGGATCGGCTCCTGCCCAGCTCGGGAGGCCATGCCCACCGGGATCAGCACCGTTCGACATGTTCCCATCCCCGCTGGCAGAGCCCTCTGGGCGGGGACAGAAGTCCTCTCCGTCGGGCGTCGCATCATACATCCCCACCTCGAAGGCGCAGGTTGGTGTCGCTGAGGAGCCCTAGCCCACTGGGGATGGGGATAGGTTGAACGATGCTGACGAATGATGGGCTCAACATTTGTTTGTGGATGTATCGTGGTGGTGGTTGCTTCCCATCTCCCAATCGACGAGGCCCCGCTCCATTGCGCTATAACGTTATAACTGTATTTGTGTACAGGCAGCCGCCTCCCTGCAGATCGATAGACCACGCATGGTTCACCGCCGCTGCAGCGCATCTCCCGACGTCACCACTATGATTATCCTCTCCCTCGGGCCTGTCTTCCCCTCCTCCTCCTCCCCCCCCCTTTCTTCCTTGCCTCTCTCAGCGAAAGCCAGGCCTGCTCGAGATCCGTTTCGATCCTTTGGCTTTGATTCCGACCTCGGCCCGATCCAGTCTGGCTCGAACAGAGCCCCTCTCCGGCCGGCACGGGCCGAGCACGATCAGCGATCCTGGGCAATATGATTCCAAGTCGATCCGCGATCCGACCCAGACGAGATCCGACCCGTTGCCGATCCGACCTGCTTTCGCGATTCGATCTGGCTAGGACATGGCAGTTCTAAATTATGCGACCACGGAATCGTCCAGAGGGTTCTTGCCCTGAGTATTCGGCTATGCGTCGGCCCTGAAGCTTCTCGCATAGCACTGAATCAGATTTTGCTCCGCCGGGGTGCTTCGTCGCTGTTCCCTCTGCAGCTCATCGTGACAAGTTTCCACCACGCTTGAGCTCAGTGACCGTGCCGTTCCGGCTACCTTGTTACTCAGCGCGAGCAGGATACATGTCGATGCGTTTGATATCCAGGTCCTGTGTGGGCTCGATATCTTAAGTTCAGTCATGTAGTTCACCATGGCTGGATTGTGTTGGTTCATTGTATGCCCACTGTCTGGGTATCATCGATACGATTGGCTTGTATACTAAATTGAAGCTTTCGACAGGTCAAGACTCTGGGCGAAATGACGGACCCATCGGCCATCCTTTCTGGAACAGTGTCATTCCACACCATATCGTTCCCCTAGCAGCCCCTAGCAGATATGTTCAGCGGCGATTGTCCCACCACATGCTCATCTTGTCATCTGGAAGTGAAGGTCCAGCGGATGCGATTAACGACCTGTGCGCGAGTTGACCTCGTTGAAGCCACCTTATGATTCGCTATCCAGGATAGCCTCAAACGCTGGCACCCGACCTTTGATGGTGCTCATGCCTCATCCCTTTCCTCATGCTATGGCGAGGAGGAGGAGGAAGAAAAGGCTCCGTAGAAGGTCCAGGAACTTCCCTGGCTGCCCCGAGAGGAGGGGCCAGCAAACATCCGCCACCGCCAGCCCACCAGAAATGTTCACTTGAGATTTTCCCTGGACCCCCGATAGACCTTCAGAAGCTGCGGTACTCCTGGCTCTGTTACCTCTGCGCGAGGCGCACACAACGCAGGCACGGTGGCTGGATGGGCCGACGGCCTTTAGATCCGCCGCCCTTTGTTGGCTTGCCACAGGGGTGCCCGGCGTGCTGAACCCTATACGGTTTGGTTTTGGTCTTTTCCAAAAGGACTCCCCCTGGGGCTTCGGCACAGCGCGCCGGCCACTCGAAAGCCCGCCGAGAATTACCCTCCGTCGGTTTTCTTTTTTAAGATGGCCCCAAGATGGCCTCCTAAGATGGCCCAAGATGACCTCCAAGTTCACCCAAGATGGTCCAGGATGGCATCCAAGACGGCCCAAGAGGGTCCAAGATGCCTCCAAGTCCGCCCAAGGAGCCTCCAGGACGGCCCAAGATGGCCCAGGACGGTCCAAGATGGCCCAAGATGGCCCAAGACGGCCCCCAGGAAGGCCCGAAGTGGACCAAACCATTTTTTCCTGACGGATGTCGAAGGATTTCGGCATTCGGCATTTGAAGGACTTTGGCATTTGAAGGATTTGGCATTTGAAGGATTTGGCATTTTGTTCTTGCTTTTTGGAGGGTTGTGGCATTTGCTTCTTTTCGGCCCTCCGACGGCCGGAGACGGCCCCAAGAGCCCCCACCGATCGCCCCAAGACGGCCCAGGAGGCCTCCAAGAGGGCCTCCAGGAAGGCCCGAAGAGGCCAACATCATTTGACTGTTCCAAGGTTTTTGAAGGCTTTGGGAACTTGCTCCTTTTCGGCCCGATGGCCCGAGACGGCCCAAGAGCCCCCAAAGATTGCCCCAATATCGCCCAAGAGGCTTCCAAGATGGCCCCACAGCGGCCCAAGATGCCCTCAAGATGGCCCCAAGAGGGCCCCAAGACGGCCCAATATGCTTCCAATACGCCCAAGGTGGCCTCCAAGACAGCCCTGGAGCACCCCAAGAGGGCTCCAAGTCGGCCCAGAGAGGCCCCCAAGACTGCTTCCGATGGCGTCAGACGGGCCAGGAATGCCCGAAGACCCCGAGAAGCCCCCAAAAGCCCGCAACAAGCCCCAGGAGGTCCCCAAGATGCCTCCAAGAGACTCCTCAGGAAGTTCCCACGAGGCCTCTTCAGTGCCCCCAGAGGCTCCCAAGATGCACCCTTCTCATCGTCCTTCTCCACTTCCTCCTCCTCCTCCTCCTCCTCCTTCTGATCTTCCCCGCCATCCTTCCCTAAGTGTTCCCTGAAGGGTTTCCACAACGGATAATCTAGGATTCTTGGAACCTTCGAAAAAAAACCTTCCAAGAGTCCTCGTCACGAATAATCCCGGATGCCTGGAATTCCCCCCCCCCTGAAAAAAAAAACTTCGAAACATGTTTTTTTCGCGAAGGATCCCGGATTCCTGGAACCTTCAGGAAAGCCTTCCGAAAACCCTCCTCACGAAGAATCCAAGAATATGGAAACTCCCACAACAAAACCGTTTCAGGCACCCTCCTCGCGAAGAATCCAGGTTTCGTGGAACCTCAAACAAAAACATTCCAAACACCCTCCTCGCGAAGAACCCATGATTCTTGAAACCTTTTTTCCAAAAAGCCTTCCACAAACCCTCCTCAGGAAGAATCCAGGATCCCTGGAACGTTCCAAACAACCTTCCATAACCATCCTCACGAAGAACCCTGGATTCCTGGAGCCTTCCAAAACACCTTCAAAACAAAACTCCTCACGAAGGATCCAGGATTCCTGGAACCTTCCAAACAACCTTCCGAAAACCCTCCTCGCGAAGAATCCAAGATTCCTGGAACCTTCCAAACAGCCTCCCAAAAACCCCATTCGCGAAGAACCCCAGGTTCCTTGAACCGTCCCAAACAAAACCTTCCGAAACAAAAACCCTCCCCACGGAGAACCCAGGATTCTTGGAACCTTCAAAACAACCGCCTGAAAATCCCCCCACGAATAATCCAGGATGCTTGGAACCTTCCAACAAACCTTCCAAGCACCCTCCTCACGAAGAATCCAGGAGTCCTGGGACCTTCCCAAACAACTCTCCAAAACAGAACCCCCAGGAAAAAAACAGGGTTCGTGGAACCTTTGACAGAACCTTCCAACAACCCCCCTCGCGAATACTCTAGAATTCTTGGAACCTTCCAAACAACCTGCCAAAAACCCTCCTTACGAATAATCCAAGATGTTTGGCACCTTCCAGGAACCAAAAAAACCTCGCCACAACGAATCCAGGATTCCTTGGACCTTACAAGACACCTTCCGAAAACACTCGATACGAAGGATCCAGGATTCTTCGGGCATTCCAAAACAATCTTCCAAACAACAAATCCCCACGAAGACTCCAGGATTCCTGGAACCTTCCCAAGAAGTTTCCGACAACCTTCCTCACGATGAATCCAGGATTCCTGGAACCTTCCTCGGCAACTGTTCAAACAACCCTCCTCACGAATAATCCAGGATTCCTGGATACTTCCGAAAAAAAAAAACTCCCAACCAGCCTCCTCACGAACAATCCAGGATTCCTGAAGCCTTCCACAACACCTTTTCAAAAACCTTTGTCACGAAGAACCTTTGTCACGACCAAAAACCCTTGCCCGAGGGGCTTTCAATAATCTCCAAGAGGACCCGAAGAGGCCAAGATCATTGATCGTCTTTTTTGTAACTATTTTAGCATTTGTTTCATGTCGGCCTTCCGACGTCCCGAGACGGCCCAAGAACCCGCAAATATCGGCCCAAGATCGCCCCAGAGGCCTCCAAGGTGGCCCTAGAGCCCAAGAGGCCCCCAAGAGCTTGAAGACGGCTGAAGAGGCGCCGAAGAGACGCAACATGGCCCCTAAGGCAGCCCAACAGGCCCCCAAGAGGCCTCCAAGACGGCCCAAGAGGCCTCCAACTTCAGGAGGGCCCGGAGAGGGCAATATCATTGTTTTTTTTTCGGAGGGTTCTTGAAGGATTTTAGCAACTGTTTCCTGTCGGCCCTGCACGTCCCGAGACGGCCCAAGAGCCCGCAAAGATCGGCCCAAGATCGCCCAAGAGGCCTCCAAGGTGGCCCCAGAGCCCAAGAGGCCCCCAAGAGATCCTAGACGGCCCAATAGGCCTCGGAGAAACCCAACATGACCCCCAAGACGGCCGTGAATCGCCCAAGGAGGTCCCCAAGTCGGTTCAGACAGGCATCCTAAACGGCTGCCGACGGTGTCAAAGGGGCCAAAGCGACCCCAAACAAGCCCCCAAAGGCTCCCAAGAAGCCCAAGGAAGCCCCGAAGAGGCCTCCAAGCGGCCCCCAGGAAGCTCGCAGGATATCCCAAGAGTGCCCTAAGAGGCGTCCACGAGGCCTCCTCCTGCTGCTGCTCCTCCTCCTTTTTCTTTGAATTACTCGGGTAAGCACCCGAGACTTGTTCGTGTCCAGGTCGATCCGTTTTCCCTTCATGACTAACCATGCGGGCCTCACGTTGGTGACAAAAACTCCTTTTCCTTTCAACGACAGCTGGAGGCACACATGGTCCGATAGCTCTAGCCCAAATACCAGCCGCTCCGACGAGGCAGGGGGCGGCGGTGATTCACCGTAGTCGTCTTCGACTCCCACTCGGTTGACAAAAGATGCGTGAACATTACTGTTCTGAGGTCCGCGCGGATTTCTCGGACCGGCGCTGGAACCCTCTTGCGGCGCCTCCGGCGCCGCTCTTGGCACGCTCCGCGCACAACGGAGGAGGGTCCAGCGCCGACATGAGAAACCCGCGCGGACCTCCAAACTGTATGTTTACGTCATTGCTTGTCCGATAAAGTTGAGGACGATTGAGGATGTGAGGG